ACTTATGGAGGTGCTTGTCATTGCTTTTTACCCTACTATATCCCCTGCAATTTATTTTCTCAAATGGAAGCTTGGAATTGGATTTGTTGATGACAACAACAACAAATCCAGTAAAATCCCACAAAAGTAGGGTCTGAGAAGGATATGTGAACACAGACCTTACCCTAACTTAGAAGGGTAGAGAGTCTGTTTCCAATAATCCTCGGCTCAACCATAGACATACAGACAAAGAAAACACATTAGCACAATGAGAGCACCGAGACATGAAGTGCACATACCAACACAAGCAACTAGACCCAAAGCATAGAAAACTTGTGCACAAAATTATTCAAATGTTTTAGACACAAAGAGTATAATGATTCACGAGCATCACGCACCACGATAATCCAGGCCAGAAACTGAATACGAAGCTAGAAAGGGTCCCAAACCAGAAGCCGAATTGACGCAAACATCTCGTCTACAACACATAAACACAGGCTCCCTAACAGCTACTCCATCATGACAAAAATCCATCCCATTCCTCCACATCCATCTTTGCGTATTCAAAATCGGCACTTGGACAGCAAGAAAATGAATGGCCCTCCCATCCCGACCGAGAACAGGAGACATGTGGAACAGCATCCAAAATGGGATCCCATCTTTCCTATAATTCAACAAACTGATTTGTATTGCACGCTCCTCTCGTATCGCCTCCCGAATTTCCATAACCGATCTCCGGTCAGTCTCGGGGCCCTGAAATATCCTCCCGTTCTTACCAATCACCTCGTCCTTCGAATAGCCAAACAACTTCAAGAACCCACCAGAGGCATAGACAATTGGATGGCCAGAAATGGAAGGGTCAGTTATTGTAAAGCTATCAGGCAAGCCATCAAGTGCATCTCTAACCAAACTTGAGTATCTACCATTGAAGGACTGCTCAATCAAACCCAGCTGTGATTCCATCTTAAATCTACTGTGTTTATCTTAAAGATTGAATCTTTATCGTGAAGAAATAAACCTGATCCCATGTGTCACTGTCAGCTATATGAACTCCTTTTCAATCCCTCCTCGTGCTTCAACACGCAAAATACAATTAATAAGAACTAATTAGAAATGACAAAACACACCCCACACACAAAAATGTTTTTTTCCCAGATTATAAGACAAGCATGTGATACTAAACAATGAGTTCATCCTAAATCTTACATGTCTTGTGAGGGACTGAAGGTTAAAGAAGAAGAAGAAGATAAACCAAATCTTCTTGGCACGAAAATATCTCAAGGAAAGATCCGGTTTGAGTGAACAAGCGAAATCCAGGGATACCCATCAATCCATTTTCACGAATGACCAGCGCATTGTTAATTTGGTAAGGAGAGAACTTGAAAGTTCCAAACATGCTGCAAATTTGTAATTTTTCCAAATAATCATTTCTGTTAGTCTTATGATCTTATCCTATTTCTATTGTTTATTGAATTCATCTTCTATAAAAATAATTTGGTAGGGACGTTCATTTTACATATTTTTTAAAATGATAATCGTCCCCTAAAACAATTTGGTAATAGTTTATTAATGGTCTGTTTGGTATACAGAAGTGACGAAATTGGAATTGAATTGAGAGTTAATTCTATGGAATGGATTTAGATTGAACTAAATTCTCTAATTCCAAATCATTTTTTTCTTCTTCTTGAAAAAAACAGCAGAATTGGAATTGTTGTCCCCAATTCGAATTCTATAATTTAAATTCTGTGTACAAAACGGAGCCTTAAGTTTTAAAAAGTTACGTAATACACCATAATAGTTTAAAATAAAAAAAATATGTAAATAATTTGTTATTAGATAAAAGAGAAATACTTTGAGCTACATCTTTATTTATTTTAAAATAAATAAAGTATGATGCTTTTGGAAAGAAACCTCAAAACTTTATAAGACCAAAAGACTACTAATTTGCATGTTGAATTTACAAATCTCAAACGACATTCATCCTAAGTTAAGTATGTATAGAAAAGGGCCGACTCGCCCAATCCGCTGAATCCGTCCTAAGAAATTGGCGGGCATGAGAAATAATAATTATCTAGGTAAGTTGGGTCGAAATCAATTTTTATATGGCAAATATGAGATCTTAAGTGTGGCCCGTTAGACTAGCAAACCCATTCAGATTCAAAAGTGTGTGTGTATATATATATATATATATATATATATATATATATATCATGGTATCGGAGCAGGTTTTGGCCACCTCGTTTGCCAAGGTGTCCGTCTAAACGTTCATTCATATCGCCCGTTAGTCTTTAGCCAATTGTCCGTATGGAGTATGTACCCAACGGCATGTGGCCCGTTTAACACGATTGCTCGTCTGGAAGTCCATACCCAGCGGCTCGTGATCCTTTAGGTGTTGGCCCTCAAAAAAAATCAAGAGAATGGAAGGTTATATGCAAGTGGTCAACCGGTTAGATTCAAAATGACCCGGTTGTCCACTTGAGGTGGAATGTTAAAGTGCATCCCATATCGGAAGTTCAAGAGCAAAATAATTAGTATATAAGCTCTTGAGTTGAACTAAATATAATCGATAGAATTCAATCTTTTAATGTGGTTCTTCCCAAGTTTCTTATAGCCCAATCTAGTTATCTCTACCAAATCCTAAATTCTATCATTATCAAATGATCAATAAATACATACAAACAAAAGCTGTTAAGAGGGCATAATAGTAATAATGCAAACCTTTTTGAGATGAAGAGAGAGTTTGATCTCTTCAACTGATTCTTATTACTTACACTATTCTTTTTATTACTTATTTATATTAAAATCAAGTTAGACGACTCAGACCAGACCAGATCAGAAACAACTCTATCAAACCTGTTCATATTTTAAAAAACTAGATCATGTCCAACTAGATCAGACGAAGAGTACTAAAATAAAAGAAATTCAATTTTCCTTTCTCTTAGCTTGTTTTTTCACCTCACCTTCTTTTTATTTTACTTTTTTTTTCTCTCTAACCAAAACTTGAAAAAATGTTTTTCATTTCATTTTCTTTTTCCTTTCAAATCCCTTGAACAAACATAGTGTTATATAATACTCCTTTTATTTTACAAAACAATCTCACTTTTACTTTTTCACTATTTCCATAAAATATTTTCATTTTCGATTAAATCTCCTATTATTATTGGTATATATATCAAATCATATTCTCTCCATTAAATTCAAGGGTAAAATTGAAAAATAACACCTAAATTATGTATTTTTTTTAAATCTATTTTTTTGCAAATTAGAATTAGTTTGTGAAATGGAGATAGTATGTAAAAATTACTCCAAATAGGACCTCAATATAGTTTCTTTTCTTCAAATTAATCTTCGGTGAAAACATTTTACTACGACTAATTCATAAATCAATCTGAACGAATATATTGAGATGATGGTAATAGTACAAGAATAATATTTTAGCATATATTTGCAAAATAAAATTATAAAATTATTTTTAGGTTGATATACACCATAATTCTTATTCAATTGATATTTAAAGGTTTCTAACTTGATTCAAATAAAAAAATTTGACTAATATAGTGTAAAAATAAAAATGAGCATTATGTAACGAGTTTTAAATTGTTTTAAATAGGTGTTTTAATTCATTACGTATTCCTATTTCCAAAATTGGAAGTATGTGGAGTATTTATTTAGTAGCATTAATTCTTTTCTGCCTTGGATAGAGTGTTGGGCCATGCTATCCATTTGTGTGTGACCCATATGATAGAAATGTAAAGTAATTGTATACTTCCTTGTCAGTTGTCACGGTTGGGCACACATGCACCTACTTTATGGTAGAATTGGGTTAAAAAAATTGAACTAACATTGTACAATGTCGGACTCTAATGATACTGAATCATTTATAATATTTTCAAATAGAATTGGTGTTTTCTTCTCGAACCGAAGGTGAACCGATATCAAATAAGATGAGAGATATAAAAATCTAAAGATAATTATAACAGACCGAACCATTCAAATGTATCTACGAAGTATGTCAAATACTTATTTATTTATCTACTTCATCTTATTTGATATGAAGTACTTCGTATTGTATAATTTTTTTTAAATACTCTTTGATTATCATTGATGTTATTATATTTATTGCTACTATGAGCATTATTTTTGTAGTTACTTTTAGTCTGGTTTTGTATGAATTAAAAAATTATTCTATAGATTTGGACTTGTTATCTTTCAATCTTTATGTTTATTACTCCGTATATTTTTAAATTCAAAATTACTCCATCCGTCCTAAAATGATCTTTCCGGACACTAATCACATTGTCAAACTATAATCACTTTCTTTACCTATTTTCGTTAGTTATTTAATAAAATAATATAGTCATTACACCTTTTGGTGTAATTTTAAAATATATAATTTTTATTTTTTAATTTTACACCTATAATCAAATAAATTGAATTGAAAATAATTTAAATCAAATCTCGAAAACCTCGAAATCAAATATTTTTTAAGAAAATATTTTTTTTCTTACCAAACAACAAAAAATTTCATTAAAAAATAATTTTTCTTGGAAATCATTTTCCTTTGGAAAATATTTTCTTGCAACCAAACACAACCTTAGTGTCAAATTTTTCACCCCAAAATCGACAAAACTTGGAGTGCAACTGAAGAAAGTGTTAGGCCATGTTCTCATCACCTAATCTGAACAATTCTAATCTAATTCAAATTTTATTATATTTAAAACTATTTCTGATCTGAACTGATTCTAATTAGAATGCATTAGGAACGGACGAGGTGGGTTTAACAAGGGTTTGGTGGCTAGAAACATTAATTCTATGAACTAGACAATGTATGTGCCCATTGTCATCCCACGACATTAACTTCTAACGTCAAAAGAATTTTGGTGCAATTCTTTGCAACACTATTTCTTCCAAATACCCCATATTAATCTTGTTTTCTGGACAGTATTTTTTCCTTAAACCCCGCAAATTCAAATCCTGAATTTAGATCAAGGAAGGATGGAATATGGAATATTATTGTCTACACCAACAAAATGTTTTTGTTTTCAAGGACAATACATTTTAGAGCTTCCAAGACAAACAATTGTGGAAGAATATTAATCAAAGGTGCATTAATAAAAAGAAAAACCCCAATACTGCAAATGGCGTTCCTATATCCACTCCCATTTTGGCTATATCCACTCCTTTTATATTAAATGGACAATTTTGCCCTTAAAAGTGACCTTGCATCAAGATTCTCTCTTTTCTATTTCTGGGGTTAAATTTGTCAATTTAACATTAATGAAGTGGATATAGCCAAAATGGGTGTAGAAATAGCAACACCCCCACTACAAAACCAGTTAAGAAAACAGAATTGGAATTACAAAAATGCAAAACAAGTGCATGTTGAGAGTGCCAAAACTGTGGATTTAATGGTAACAATGCTTGGCATTCTTCCATTGTCTTTCCTGAAGAACATGGCATTGTACAAAGGCAGGTTGATCAAAACCAGCACCCCACACAGCCCAAACTGCAGACCCAGAGCCTCAAATGCTAACACTCCCAACACCACTCTCACCACCCCCAAAACAAAGCAGAAGAGGTTGAGCATCGCCAGTGTGGACAGAACAGTAAACATGGCAGAGGTGCTCCCAAATTCCATGATCTCTTGCTCGTATCTCTGCAAAACCTCGTCCTCGGACACCTTTGGGGAGACTACAAATGTTGGGTTAGAATGGCCCACCAGGTTCAAGATTGTGTCGAGAAGCGCAAAGAGGTAAGCGCTTGACCTCTTGTAGAGCCACATTCTTTGGTCGTTCCACCAGCCGAGGAGCGTTCCGCCTGCCCAGAGGAACTCTGAGCAGCTGTATGCTGATTCCGCGACTGCCACATAAGCAAATGGCAAAAACCAAATGCTAGAGACCTGCATTTATTTGCAAAAGCTTACATGTTACCACAACAAAAGTAACCCAGTACAATCCTAGGGACAACATGTATGCAACCTTGCCCTGTGTAACAAAAAAAAAGGTTTTTTTTTATAATAAACTAAACCTTTGATAGCATTGCATCATTTACTACTCAAAACTTTGTACTCCCTACGTCCGGATTTAGTTGTCCTGTTTCTATTCGTTCAGTAAACAAATTATGATGAATTCTCCAAGATATGTTAGGAGCATTGTTGGTTTGAATGACTTATTTGACATTTTTAACTCATTTTTTAAACCGTTAGAATGGGGATAACTAAACCTGGACGGGGAGAGCAGAAAATAGGAATAAAGGAAGATTAATGACAACTTTGATGTGGTTGGGTATTTATCCAAAGTAAAAACACTGTTAAGAACTATTTTAGCTCCATTTGCAACGGACAATCAAAAGCAAATTAGTTTAGCTACAACCACATCAAAACACAATAAAATCCTAATCAACACTGTTAGGGCTTGAGAGATGTATGCAGTCGTATCCCCATGAATAACATTTGTTCCCTTGTAAAGAAAAAAAAAACCATCCAAAACTGGGCAAAAAAGTTTTTTTTTTAAATAAATAAGTATGAATCAGCATGCCACATTAGCATTGTCATCTAAATTAAAATTACATGTTATCGTTTTAACAGTTCTGGATAATCAGTAATCATAAAAGTAAATGGAAGGACCAGATTGAACAAAAATGACTAGCATTGGGTCTAAATTGCTTCAGTTTAAATTAAATTGAGTAATAAAATTGCACATTTTAAGATAGTACAAGAACCTCTACAATACTTTGTCCATGAATAATTAGAAGCTGATTAGTTTAGGGTAGTGGAAGTATAAGATCATTGGAATAAATAAATAACAATTAGAGCTGGGACATGCCTGTGGAAACATAGGAGAGCCTTTGAGTAGATGAAGAGAAGGCACAATGGAGTAATAGAGAAGTGCCACACAATTAGGAGACCACAAGCAATATGTGAGAGAACCAAATATAAAACCAGTGTTTAGCTTTCCTAGTCCATACCAAAGTGGACTGTATCTTGAGAAGAGAATCTGCAGATCTCCTTCGGACCATCTCTTGTGTTGCACCAGAGCCTGACCAAGTGTGGTCGTCGTCACACCTAAAAACGCCTCTCTCTCGGGGCTAAAATATACCGATTTCCACCCCTTGCATAAAATCGAAATCCCCGTCAATACATCTTCGACCGGACATCCATACTTCAAACCAATCTGCAAATATAAATAACATGTTAAGAAACCAACTCAAGAAAAAAAACTCAAACTTGTGGTTGTAAGCCCGGGAATGATTTTTTTTTACTACTCTCACATGCCCCCTTGTGTCCAAGGATGTGATGCCATGTTAAGAAGCCAACTCAACCAAAACCTCAAACTTGTGGTTGTAGGCCCAGGAATAAGTGTTTATACTCAAACACGCACACACACAGATCAATGATGACAGGTGTTAGGACCATCAAACGTCTCCATAACTCTACATTAATATGATATTGTCTGCTTTGAGTCAAACTCAGAACAACAACGAAATCATGTAAGCAAAGTAGATTAAAGCATAAGTAAAGCTAAAATGCAAATAGAGCGAGAGACCTCATAGCCCCATTGAGTGTTTTTTTCATATGTGCAGTTAACTAGTTCTCCTAGCCTCTCTTCCAATTCACACACATTTTCATGTGTCCTTATAGGAGAGTGACTCTTCAATCCAATCCTATCTTCGTTGTTGAACTCCCGTCCACATAGAGTTTCCCTCCTGTGAAAGCAGCCAGTTCCAATGTAGAATGGGCCACCACAACCATCCAGGCCATGAAATTCCACTTTCTGAAAAAGGGAAATGCTAGTAAGAAAAAACATAGAAAAAACAATTGAATTTAAAAAAAAAACTGATTATCGAATTTCGTATGCTACATCGACTACTCTCAAGGAGCCTCCATATAGCTCATTCTTGGTGATATTCTGGAAACGTTGAGGGAATTGTACAAAAGCTATGTTGTGGCTTTTCTCTTCATCCATGAAGAAGCAAAGGGCATCTTTAATTGAGCATGAGTTGTTTGAGTACATATCGCAATCCACATTCAGAATGATTGGTGCATTGCTTATCTCACATGAAACTCTGATCTGCACATTAATGTAACTAAAGAGTGAAATAATACTGGCATAATGCAAATGCTATTGAATGATGTATATCATTATATTTTCTGTCCAGATTTATTTGTCCACTTTCTGGTATACCTCAATTTTTAAGGAATGAAGGTAAAATTTGAAAAAATATATATAATTGAAACAAACTTATCTTCATTGCTGGCAAACAGAGGTAGTGTGTCCGGAATTAATTGTCATTTTTAGTAAACAAATTATACAAAATTACTAAAATACCCCTAGAGGGGATATTAGACTTGTTGACATCAACAGATGACAAGTCTATTTCAAATGCATTTTTTTCCTGATTTACTGCACTCCTTGAATATGAGTGGTCAGCACAATCTAACAACTAAATCCAAATGGGAGTAATTCTTTAACTCACCAATGCATTCATGGCACCAGCTTTGAAATTGTGAAAATATTGTGGCCTTTTCTCCCGGGCCATATAAACCAAAGTCGGCAAAAAGTGGCCTTCCCCGTCCTTAGCTTCTTCCTCCCTCCCATCAATTTGTATCTATTTTTTTCAATTAAAAAAAAATAGAAAAAGAAAAAAAGAATCATATTTAAACTAACTTCTGGTAAACAACAAAAAATGAGAAGAAAGTTTGAAGGTTTTCAATAAACTTCAGCCACCTGCACCATAGCAGCATGATTTCCAGGAGATGAAGAATGGTCCCACTTGGAAAACCTGAAATGCTTATGAAGATCATCCTTGGGGATCCTTCCAAGTTTGCAAGCCATCCCTATTCTGTTTTCCATTTCTTGATACAGCCTCTACACATTTTAAAAGGCCATATCCATGTAAATATATGATTAATATGACTATTGACGAATTTACTCAATCAACATTTCAAACTTGTGGTTGAAGGTCCAGAAAAGGTTATCCACTAACACGCTGATACCATGTTAAGGAACTAACTCAAGCAAAGTCTTAAAATCGGGGTTTATGCTCTAAAATTGTGGTACCCTTTGACCGCAAACTATGGAAAAAAAGTATATTTAGCTATAATATAAATTTCGTAAAATTGAGTTTATTTTAAAATAGAGTTTTGAAATATCAAAATTTTATAATATTTAATTATCTTAAACTATATTCAATTCGTGGTCAAATGGTGCCACAGTTTGACCAAAAAAGTCAAATTGTGGCAATCTTTTAGGGACGAAGGAGTAAAACTTTTGATGTAATTTTGAAATATGTAAACAAGATTCATTGCCAACTACCACTATCATTGGCTTCACCGCCAACAACCGTCGTTGCCGACTACTCTCACCTATCACTAATTAAGTTATTATATCATGAATATAGATTTCAAAACTCATAGCATCTCCCGGATTTCAGAACTCATATCATATCATAACTTCAAAACTCAACAAACAGGCCTTTATATTTATACATATATACGGAGTATATTTTATTAAAATTTAATATTTCAAAGCTACATTTCAAAAAGAATACATTAATATTACTTCGTAGCATATCACAATACATTTTTCCGCATCAAAATTTACAAACTATAACCAAGAAACAAACTTTCAGATGAAGGGAGTACTAAAATTGACATGGTAGCTATTTTTGCATTGAGAAATTATTGTCAATTGGACACACAAATCATACAAAGTGAGTAGGGGGCAGAGGCATTACCTTGATCATGGAGAAATCCGAATTTACAAAACCACCAGAAGCAATTGAAGGAAAATAAGCCGCCGGGCACCTCGGCTCAATCTCATATTTCCGGCAATAGGGAAGCCAACGCTCGGAGAAGACGGCGGCCTCCACCAGAGCGTAGAAGGTCAGCTCAGAGCCTGCATCGTCGGAGACATAAACGCTTAGCCTTTCCGGCGGGTGGTCGTACGCCATGACCGATAACACGGTGTTAGCCACCATGATCGGCGGTTCCGTCTCAGGGTTTGCGGTGCATACAAAAACATCGACGCTTGGCAAATCACTCCCATATCTGTCCCTTAAACAAGAATTAAAACAATGTTTTAAGTGATCTCACATTCTCGAGAACTTATACCATACAACCAAACTTTGCATACAGTACTCATTTTCCATCAGCATAATGTATTTTTACACCTTTTCATTTTGGAGTAACAAAGTGTTCATTTTTTGCATATTCTATATTTTAATTTTAGTATTCATTTGTGAACAACAAAATACTAGATGTTATTACACAAAATGTACATTATAACTAATATTTATACAAAATATCTTGATCTTTTTGTCCACTTTCTTTTTGACACATAAACCAAAGAGAAGGAATAGATTTGGGTAAATGAGTGTAATGCCCTCCCACATAAGGAGGGACCATATCTTTCTTTCCTTCCTTCACAAGGCCTACACTCTAACTTATCTTCCTGCTCCACCGCCTTCTCCTCTTGCATACAGCCCAGCCGCTGCCGCCAACATGTTCTCCGGCGAGATACCCCTGCCTTAAGGTTTTTTTTGGAACCCTATAGGTCATCAACGAAAACAGCTCACCAGAGCCCCAAAACAAGAAACAAAATCAAAGAATCCGATAAGAATTAAAATCCCCATACGAATTGATGGATCCCCTAAATCAGAAGAACCCAACACAAGAATCGAACTTCCACTGCATAATTGCCCAACTAGACATTAAGAAAATCAAAATCAAAATTAGAACCCACAAGCAACAATGAAAAACGCCTAGGGAATCCAGACTTTTTTCTACCTTTGTGACGCCACCAGATGCCCTGAAAGAACCTAATTCAAATCCTTGTCTCGAACTGCATCTGCGTTAACACGGAGCCAGAAAGTGAGAGGAGACCGAGCTCCAACTGATTCGGTGGAAATCCTACTGATTTGTTGTCCCAGCCAAATCTCAATCTAATCTTGAAGAGCGGAAGAAAGAGAAAGAAATGAGATTCAATGCTCCTTAACGGACCCTAAGAGGATTCAAAAAGGAATATTGGACCAAGAGACTTGGATGGAGGAAGTATTAAGTTCAGAATACCATACTCATCTTCGTCCCTGACTAGATCTAGGGTTTTTTTTAAAGACCCTCGTTTTCGTTCATTGCAGCACCTCTGTTCATCGGCCTCCTCCTTCGCTTGAAGAAAATTTCAAAATTAACTCATTATACCAAGAGGAGATACAACAGCTTGTACCTTTGAAGTTGAACACATTCCAGGTGAGTGATTATTATTTAAAAAAAATTGGTGTTGATTAAATGATACTCCGTATAAAAGTCATTTAGGAAATTCATAATAGATGAAAAATAGTTTTGTAAGTAATCCGATGAAAATAGAAAAATAAAATAACTGGTTCAAAAATAAGTAATTAAAGCTTACTTATTTCTAGAGGTGTGCATTATTCGGTCCAGACTCGGGACCGACCCGAAACCCGGCCAAAACCGGACCGGACCGGACCGGTCCTTATCCGGTCCGGTCTCCAATCCTCATTTTTTCTTTATTCGGGTTCCGGTCCGGTTCGGTCCGGTCCACCGGGTTTCGGTCCGGACCGGTGGACCGGTTAGATTTTATTTTTTTTAAATATTTTTTTCTATATAAGTTTATAATATTGTATTTTTTAAGGTTTTTTCTTATACTTAAAATTAGTTTAACTTTAATGCTAAATTTTTTTAAATGTTTTGATTTTATTATTTAATATAATTTTTTAAATACATTTCAATTCAAAATAAGATACCAATTATAATGCTTTTAAATATTTTTAATATTAAAAGTGTGAAAAAGTAAACATTACCTTTATATTAGCGATCTCATGCATTTCAAATTTATGTACTAATACTATAACTTAAATTTGTACTTTATCAATAATAAAACTCTAATCCGCAGAACAAACATTGTAAACAATCTCATGCACAAAAATAATAAAAAATGTATCTGTTTGTCAAAATAAATTGAAAACTCAAAAAAATATTACAAAAAAACAAAAATGTACTAAGAAGAAGAATATTCCCTATGCAAAATAAAAATTATGAACAAATTTTATGTAATACGGATGGAAGATATATATTTTATTTAATTTTTTTTTTAAAAATTCAAAACAATTGTGTTTGATAATGTTTAGTGTATGTTACAATTAAAAATTAGTTGTAGTAATATTTTTATTCAATTGAATACTTTAAATTAAATAAATAAAATCAAATTTAAAAAAATATTAAAATTAAGATTTATTCGGTCGGTCCCGGTCCGGTCCGGGTTTTACCGGTCCGGTCCCGGGCCGGTCCTTAGCTTAATCGGTCCGGTCCTCGGTCCACCAAATGCCCCTTATTCGGTCCCGGTCCTGTCCCGGTCCGGGCCGGTCCGGTCCGGGTTTGACCCGATGAACACCCCTACTTATTTCTAGCTTATAAACACAGAGAGAAACACGTCATCTGCGGATAAACACGTCATCTACGGTCTTATAAGTTAAAAACAATTTACAAATATTTTTTGACCAACTTATAAGCGCAAAGGAACATCCAGATTTCTAGAAATTTACCCACCATTATTTTTATAAAATTTTAAAAATAAAGGTAGAAAAATAAAAAACACATTCCGAATGATTAAAATATATTTAAGTAACAGACAAATTAAATTGTTCGTTATTGAATAAAATAAAGTACTCTATCTTTCTCTTTGTATTAATGTAGTTTGACTTTTTTTAATCATACTCCATGAATTTTTTCATCAATTACTTTAAATTTATATTATTACATATTAATACAACTAAATACAATTTTATATTTTCTTTACAAGATAAATCTAATGAAAATATTTAGATACAATTCAAAAACAGAAAATGAATTTATTATTTAAAATAAAAGAGATATGTATTCAATATTAAAAAATAAACTATTTATAAATTTTTATTTTTTAGAACAAAAAAAAAGATAGAAGCAAGATTCAATAATTACTACTTCCTCCGTCCCATTTTATAACGCCTGTTTCGGTTTACAATGTTTGACTGAAGTTATTTTCAAATCATTTTATATGACAAATGGTATAGAGTTAAAAAATAAAAATTACATATCAAAATACTACATCAAAAGATCTATAAAACTAGTAGTGACAACAATATTTTATTTTATCAAATTGCTAATGAAAATAGAGAAAGAAAGTGAATGAAGTTTGACCCTGTGAATAGTGAACAGGCATTATAATTTGGGACGGAGGGAGTACTACAACTACAAGAGTTAAATTTTTGAGTTGCGTTTACACATCAAACCCACTCTTTTCTTTTTCACTCTCTCAGTTTACACTAAAAAGTAGTATTAAAACATATGTCAATTTTCAAAGTAGTACTTAAACTTTTTTATTCTCGAAATAATACTTGAATAATGTCTAGTGACGGGAACAATATCCAGTGATGGTTTACACTTAGTTTGAACAATGTCCAGTGACGGTAGATATTTATTTGAACACTGACCAGTAAATAATGACAATAGTACAACATTGGAAAATAAAAACATATGGTACTACATTTGGAAAGTCATTTTGTTTTAGTACTATTTAAGTAATTTTTTATTTAATTGGTGTTTAAAGTTTATTTAATTTGACTTAAAAAAATCAAATTAAACAAATATTTTAGCTAAGGCAGGGTAGTATGTGAGACATGTTATATTAAAAAACAGAAAATGAATTTGTTACCTAAAATAAAAGAGATATGAATTCAATATTAAAAATAAACTATTTTATAAATTTTTTATATTTTAGAACAAAAAGAAAGATAGAAGCAAGAATCAATAATTACTACAAGAGTTAATTTTATCTGGAATTCGAATTTTGAGTTTAATATAATAAGGGAGATGATAACTAAGGCTTCATTCTATTTGCTTGATTCGATAGAATTTAATTTGATCTGATCTGATTGTAATTATGTTTAAAATTATTTCTAGCATGATTTAATTGAATCTGAACAGAACTGATTTTAATAAAAATAAGTTATAAGGTAAAAAATAAATTGAACAAAAAAGGATCCTGATTTAAATGTTCTAAGATCTATCGGCTATCGCAATTGGCCACTCATATTTCATTCTTTAAACGTACATTATCCTAAGAGGATTTTGCATTTTATATTTATTGTGTCCAAAACCACGGGATATGCGTGCTTAAACAACAATTATCATTGTGGTCCGCCCGCCATATTTGAAAAACTTTGCTCTTTTACTTTTAGTTTGGGAATTGGGATTATTATCTTCTTCTTTTTTTTCTCTTTTGCTCTATTTTTTAACAGTTTCTTTTTCTTTTTCTCCCTAACTACTCCCTCCCTCCTTAAATATTTACCACACTTCTTTTACTCAAATCATTTTATTTACATATTGATATAAAAATAAAAAATAATATTTACATATCAAAAAACTACATGAAAAGTTCTTCGAAATAAGAGGTGTCAAGGATATTTTATTTTATCAAATAACCAATAAAAACGTAGAAATAAACAAAAGTTCCCGCGACTGCTGAAAAAGCAAATGTTGTAAATATTTTGGGACGGAGGTAGTACTTAATTATTAAGAGAAGAAGTTACTACTCCGTAATAGTTAGAAAACAAAATTACTGTGGTCATCACTTGGGAGTTTTAAATAATATTCTTTCCGTCCCAATTTAATCATTCCTATTTTCTTTTTCAATTCGTGATATCTCAAATTAATCTTTTACTTTTTCCAGAAAACATTTTATGGCTTACTTTCTTCTCTTTCTTCTACATCACTTTTAATCACACAATTTTACTTTACTTAAACTCGGTGCAATGTTAAGCTGCGAGTATTATTTTGAGACGAAGAGAGTATATATTGACCTAAGTTATATCCCGAATAATTTCATACGTACTCCCTCGGTCCAAAAAAAATTCTTTTTATTTTTCACGATCTTCAATTCAATGTTCCGTATTTTGATCATTAATATCTCTATTTACATATTAACATACGGAATATATTATAAAATATAATATTTTTAAAAAATAATTTAAAAAGCATCTCCTTGATATTAAATTTATGTGATAGTTCAATGAATTTTTTCGTTATTTATAGTCAAATTTAAAAATATTTGAACAAAATTAAAGGTTAAAATGAAAATAAAATTTAGACCAATTAAGAGAGTACAAAGGAAAAGGGACCAACCAATTCACTAATCCCTAAATCACTACCAAAAAGAGATTAATATAATATAGAGAAATTTACCTAAATAGGACTAAAACATAATTTTCCCAATATAGGATCATATGTTTTTATTTCTCAATGTAGGACTTTTGGTCATTATCAAGTAGTCATTATTCAACTAAATGTCCATCATTACTGGACATTATTCCTTCCGGCCACTAGGTCATTATTAAGTCCTATTTAGAGAATAAAAAAATTTAAATCCTACATTAGTTAGGAAAGTCATTATGTTTTAGCTAAAGAGTAATTAAACGCTTAACGGGCATGCACAACGCACCTTTTCAAGAGACTGTGTGGGAAAGGGCGACGGAAGACGAGGCTCCAACGAAGAAACTGAGTGAGAATCCAATAGAACCCGAACCAGAGCTCGGCCCCGAGCATTCCAATCCAACCCGCCCTCCCGTATTCGCCGTCGGGGCCCGGCATGTGGGCCACCCTGTAGGAGAGAACGCCGACGATGCCGGCGAAAATGGTGGAGGCGAAAAGGCGGTAGAGCCGCCTTCTTCCCTCCCCCGCCGTCTCGGTTCCGAACAAGGGGTGGTCGCAGTATTTTCTACCACGACCCTCGTCCATTGCTTTTACCTCTAAAAGATTAAATTCTTCTTCCTGGCCTCAGCATATGCAAAGTCTCTCTGCAATAATATTAATCTTCCAAGTATAATATATAATGTCTCTCAGCATAGAAACATGGAGTAATTAAATAGAGGAAGCAGATTTGGTTTTGGGTTGCCATTTATAGTACCCAGGCCAGTACCTTTTTTTTTTTTTTGTTAAGATGGCTTTGCGCCTTACTCACCTTTCAAAAAGTTGTACTCCCTTCCCTTCATAAAAAAAAAATGAGCCTCCTCTCCAAATTTTAAAACTGAACAAATACTCTGTGACAGAGGTAGTAATAAAAAAAATGATGTGATAATTATAAAAGTAATTTTTTAATAGAAAATTGATGTATTTTATTTGGGATTAGCTCCTTCTCTACGGATGAAAAATGATTTTTTGGAATAAATGAATTTTAAAAAGTGATTTTCAGAAAATAATTAAATTATGAAGTACTCTATATTTCTTAGTATTTGGTTGAAACTTTAGAAAAAAACAAGTGCTTATTATTATGTCATATTCCACCCGTCGTAGAATTAATAATCGTCTCAATCATTATTGTAGCTACTGATAACTTTTGTTTATTTATATATTTTTATTAATTATTTGATAAAATGAAATATTCATGTCATATCTTTTTATAGATTCTTTTATATAGTTTTGAAATATATAAAACAATATAGATTTTTTTATTTATATACTAATTTGTAAATAAAATAATTTTAAAGTGACAATGATAGCTCGAAATTTAGTGGGTGTGATAAGGGACAATCATGTAAAACCATGCCTAGACACACAAAATCTCATCTTTACACCAACTTACTAAGAGAGTGTTTGGCAGTGCACTGCTTTTAAGAATTTAGCTTTTGCTTTAAATGGTTGTAATTTTACTTTGTTTGGTATGTCAGCTTCTATTTTTCTTTACCACTGCTTTGTTTATATATAGAACATCATTTCGGAGAAGCAATTATGATTAAATCACTTTAATCACAAATTAATCATTACTAAACACCCTTTAAGGATATAAAATTGATTTAACTTGTCTCGCATAACTATCTAATTGGTGTTGAGGGGACCCTTCTTTCTCTTTTTAATAATTTTTTTTTTTGAGTAAATTCCATAATTGGTCTATTATAATAGGGGGGTTTCCATATTTAGTCCTCTATTATCAAATATTACCATGTAGTCCTTTTTTAAGGGTACATTTCCACAAATGGTCCTTTTTTTGATCTTATGTCATGTTGGTGTTAATTTTAAGGCTAAAAATATAATTTGACATTAACATTATGTCTAGTGACGTGATCTGATATTGGTTAAGTTGATAACATAAAAATAATGACTATGATTGTGGGCTAGAATTCCGACGAAAGACCACATTTATAGATTATGGTTGTAGTAGAAAGCGACTGTAATGCACAAACGACGTAATCGAAACAGCCTTTGGAATTTTGTATGACAAAAAAGATATATTATCATTGTGAAATTACACTTTTAGCCTACAAATTAACACCAACATAATAGAAGATCAAAAAAAGAACTATCTGTGGAAAGATACACATAAAAGAAGGACCACTGGAGTAATATTTGATAATAAAGGACTAAATAGGAAAACCCCTCTGTTATAAAGGACCAATTATGGAATTTACTTTCTTTTTTTGTGAATTGTTAGGTCAGTAACTAATAGTGGGACTCGGGCATTGACATTGGTGGCAAAGCAATCCATCCGGGTCCCACACTCCCACTCTGCCTTTTAAAATTTGAAGATCAGAAGATATGGAAGACTGACAAATCTTTCAACTCCTGTTCCAGACTTCCTTTTTTTTTGAAAATTGGAGAGAGAAAAAATGAATCTCATTTTCGAGTCTTTAAGCTATAGACAATCCTCTTCAATCTTTAATAAACAACAATCCATTTGATTCTAATATTATTTGTTGTCCAGTAATAGTTTTCTATGATGATCTAATGAAATGTTATTTATAGTAAAAGAGTTATTAATTTAATTTGCTATACACCCGTTTCACCTGATGGCGCATCAGGTGGATGACGTATGTAACATGTGATGGATGAGTCGGGTGACGGATGAAGATTGAATGATTAGATGAGGTTGAAGCTCCATCCAATCCAAACCCCAAGTCATTGTCACTTCTAAACACAAAAGAGATGAGCACTACTTAGTAGAGTGATAAGTGGATAAGGATAACAATGAGCAAATGGTCAAAAAGATTGCAAAAATCTCACTGTATTTATGTGTGTAAAATACAATTTACACACAAGTCTAGTACAGGTTCCATGCCACCACTTCCATGCTGGTTATTTTGAGTGAAATTTTCAGGCAGCTATTAGAAGATAGGCAACAAATAGAGCAGGGGCAGTGCAAGCATGGACCTAATCAGAACAGACGACGACAAGCTTCCACTATCTTTCCGGCGAAAGAGCGCGTCATAAACAGGCAGATTCACCATCACTATCACCCCACTGAGAGCCACCTGTGGGAGGAACTGCAGGGGAAACGCGAGTTTTGTCGCAAAACTCAGCAGGTTCAGCAGTGCCAGTGTGGATATGAAGGTGAAAAAAATGGACCGCGACGCGCTCCCAAACTCCATGATCTCCTCCTCGTACCTCCTCTGAACTTGGCTGGTCTCTGCTGCCTTGGCAGTGAGAGTGAATGCAGCTGTTGTTCCTGAGAACCCAAGTTGTCTGCCAGTCGCGTCAAAGAATGCAAACAAGTACGAGGTTGTCCTCCGAACCAGCCACATTCTTTGCAAGTTCCACCACGACTTGAGTGTCTCGCCGCAGCTCAATGATTCTACCAGTCCAAACCCGTTCCTTGCAGCAAACATGTACGCGAAAGGCACGAACCAAATGCTTGTTACCTGAAATCATAAAGAGAGCTCTGCAAGTATCAGATCAAGATTTTCTTTTTTTGAAGATAACGAACGATGGGTAAATTGAAATTTACACATAAGGTAAACTGCAATTTAGCCAAAGGACAATAGGGGTTGTCCTTAATTATTTAGGGACATACCTTAGGAAATAAGGAGATGTTGTGAAGCAAGCAAAGGGGAGGAACAGTCACATAGTAGAGCACGGGAACGGAGATGGGTGCCCAAAGAAGGTAGCAGCAATATCCCATTTGAGCAGCCAATTTTATTTTCCTGTACCCATATATGAAGGGGCAGTACTTGGAGATGAAAATCTGAAACATGCCCTCAGACCATCTTTTGTGTTGTACGAGAGCGGCTTCAAATGTTATAGGAGCCATGCCCAGAAACGCGGGGGCGTTTCTGGGATTATAGTACACAGATTTCCATCCTCTGCATTGGATAGTTAACCCTGTGACTATGTCTTCCACTGGACATCCATACACAAGCCCCATCTGTGAGCATTTCAGAAAATAAAACATATTTTAGTCATAGGGTGACTTCAGATTCGGACAAACGATATCCGTTTGTCCAAATCTCAAGAAGAAAACATATTTTTTTAAAGAAATCGCATGTTGATTGTTTGTGTTGGAGGAGGAGGAGAAAGAAACAAACATGTTTTCCCCATTGGGTACCCTCTTCATAGCTGCAATTTGCAACACACTTAGCTGCCTCTTCCAACTCTTCAATGCTCTTCTCCATGCCACCACGAAACTCATTGTCAAATCTAAGCTCTTTAGAGTACTTCTTCCCACATAGGCTTGCTCTTCTGTGGAAGCATCCGGTTCCACAGTACAGAGCCGCTCCAACACCACCCAAACCAGCAAGTTCAATCTATATTTTGAAAATATAATACAACAACAAAAAACCCGGTAAAACTCCACGAAAAGTAGGGTCTGGGGAGGGGGTGTACGCAGACATTACCCCTACTTGACAGTAGAGATACTGTTCTAAAAGACAAAAGAGTACGAACAAAGATAAGAGATTTGGAAAATATGATAATAATAATAATAGTAACGATAGGAGATGAAAGTTATTTGCATATAATGCATAATAGATAATTATTTGTTTACTTCATGGGTTACGCGGCCTGCATTTCCATACAAATCATTCTTGGTGATGTTAGCATAGTGTTGAGGGTACTGCACATAAGAAATCTGGTGCCCTCGTTCTTCATCCATGAAAAAGCACAATGCCTCTCTGACTGAGTCTGCGTTGTTTGAGTACATGTCACAGTCCAAGTTGAGGATGATTGGGGCGTTGCTGATTTCCGCAGATACCCTTATCTGCAATGTCCCATTTGCTCTATAAGTTCTTAGCCTAATCAAAGAAGCCGTTGAATAATGCGGTTTTTCTTCTCAAATAATGTATCTCGTTCTGTTAGAACACGTACAACAACAAACCTATAACCCCAGGGTCTGGGGAGAGGGTGAGTATACGCAGACTTTACCCCTACTTGGAAGTAGATGGGTTATTCCCAAAACACCGGGGTTGGGGGGGGGGGGGGGGG